TAAGAGCACGTCCCTGGGTTTAGGTTGTAGTTTTGAGGGGATCACAGAAAGGCAGTATGAAAACTATACAACTGCCTCCTCCTGGCTCTTCAGGCCACACAGAGACATTGAGGATTTTTAGCCTAGCTTAACCTGGGCTGCGTCTCTCTGTGCGGTCAGAGAAAATCAGCCTTCAGTAAAAATCCCAAAGAAAACACTGAGGATCATGCAAACCCCACATAGACACCCAGTGTCAGATCCCAAGTGTCTAAAGCTGCCAGCCACCACACCACTGTGCTGCTTCGGGTGATGAGCCAGAATAGTTTGGAATGTGCTCTAATTTTGATCTTCAGTGCTTGTTTTGTGAGAAATTGGTAACATGATAAAAATCCGTGATTGTCCCGTACAAAACATCCAGGTTGTAATGAAACCTAAACTCTCTGTTAGATTAAAGGGGTTAATCATCTTCTTTCCAGGATATTGAGACTAGATCCCATCTATTATTGAACAGAATGATTTCTGGCTGTCACATTGCATTAACAGCTAAACGCCCATGCAGTGTTCTCGGCACAGTCTGCTGGCCTTGCAGGGGAGCTGGCAAAGCAGGCTGCATGTGGGCCAGAGAACGGAGAGTGTCTCTGTGCAAACAGCGACGGGCGTGTGATGGTTTCTGTGATGCTTGAAACGCGTCGAGGCTGTTGTGGGTTGTAGTGTGACCCCTCCATGAATAACAATTAGGGGGCTTCCACCTGGGGGGGGGATGATTCAGTTTTCAAGGCGGAGTTGAGATTAACACTGAGTGTGGAGGTTAACTCTTGAACACACGAAAGAAGGATTTTTTTCTTTAATAAATGAGCACATTAGAAGCTGGAGTAGAAAGGATTCCCCCCCCGCCACCACCTTCTTTTTAATGAATGCAGGATGTCAAAGTCTTTCGAATAATGTGGTAATTCGTGGTTTTGATGAAGCCTTCCAAGTAACTTCCAGGGAAGTGGAGAAGTGACTCCTAGTGACAGTGAGAGCAAGTTTGCGGCTACCTGTCGAAAACCCTTGATTTTCTGCGCTGACTCTTATTCGCTCGAACCCTGATGGGCTTGGCCAGTTGCAGAATTCCACTCGTATTGAACTGATGACAGAGTACAGGCTTGAAGTGCGTCTTGCACCCAGGCTTTTGAGTTACACAGCTGGTCTAATTTAAGTTAGTAATTGTAGTAATTCTAAGTTGCTTATGTGTTTTGTGTACCTATACAAAGTAAATGTTATGATATTATCAGCTGCGATAAGATTTTAAGACTGATCGCTTTATTTTTAGCTAAGAAAATAGGTTAATTGATTTCATTAAATGTTCAGGTTGGAGCTAAGTGCAGAAGACAGTAGGACCTCTGGGAATTGAGATGGAGGCCTCCGGTCTGGACAGTGGTGTTCAATTTCTATTCTGAACAAGAGCCTTTACTTGTTGATCCACTGAGGAGCTCCCATTTGATATTTTAACTTGTTAACCGAATGGGAAGAAGCCAATATTTGATTCTTGTCACTCTGTAGCACATAGCACCGTTTTGAACATGCACTTCTGACACAGTAATGGCAGTCACCTCTTTCTCAGATATATTATTCAGCACAAACACTTGCTAGACTGAGAAGCCTTTAAAAAATTGTTGGAACTCCTCGTAGATCTATGTACAATATCCTCATTCCTGTAACTAGGTGCGAGTCTCTGGATCAGAAGTTACCAATGGTGTCTGCAGCACTGTGACTGAATTCCTGTCGAATTACATATTCTGTTCCCCATTCACAGTAAAAAGGTAGTATACATAGTTAAGAAGCAAACTGTTACAATTTTTAATGAATCGCTGTGCTAAAGTGTAATTTTCAGGGAATTTAATTAAATGGTTAACGTTCATAACAGGAAAGAGTTTGATTTCATTTGCTTTCCTTTATAGGAGAGAAAATTAATTCTTTGCTCTTACTCATGTTTTTGGGTTTTGTCCTTCAAGTTACTTCCAATTAAGTGTAATACTTTTTGTAATCCAAATATTTGCACAGACATTCTGTAGCTGTGTTCCAAGTCCTGGTTCCTAAAAACCAGTAGAGAGGTTAAGGTGGAAAGGTTTGCTAAAGCACTTGTGGTGGGCTGTAGTAGGGTACGCAGCTTTATAAAAATGTCATATGAGCAAAACAAAATGGAAAAAATTCCCTTCGAAACGGAAATCTCTTGGAGACACTACTTGGTGCTGTGACCACTATTGGCCTGTTTTGTCGAGAGTCGGGGCTATTTTTAGTTTCTACAGTGCCGGTTAAGTTGCATTCTGAGAAAAGGGAGTATGGAAACATGAATTGATCCTCTGTAATACAGTGACCAGAACCTTCTATTATATTTATAAAAATATTTTTTAGGAAAACTTTCAGACATGAAAACATAGCCTCCCTATTGTTAATATTTCTAGTGCAGGAAGTCAAAATATCTTCTTCTCTAGACACCAAAAATGTTTATCTAAAAGATAAATAAGTGATTTGATAAGCCCTTTGATAGGCAGAATGGTCTGCCCACCTTTTATAAATTCTTTTCTCAGTTGCCTGCTGGTTTATATATTTGAGATCTACAAAGCTCCAAATAGTTTCAGGTCTTGAAACTGAACAGGCTTTCCTTTTTATAAAAAGGCAAGTGAGACCATTGCAAAACTAGCTATTTAATATCAAAGCTTAAAAACTCAACAGTGCATGCAGGTTCATGGTGATTTAGTCATGTTGGCTATGCGTGTGCATGTATCAGTTGTCCAAGGTTAAAAATGTACTGTTGACCTTTAGCCTTTTCATTGTAAGACAAATTCCTAGAGTTCAAAGTGCCTTTAGTAAACAAGTCGCACAATTTGCATATTACTATGAAGGAAATACCATTTATGTGTAGGATAGTTCTGCAAGTGCAAAATGTCTTATGTTTTTCTGTGTTGAAAAGCAACATATCAGTGCTGCAAAAGATGATCGTGTTTCCTTGAATCTCAAATGTGAGGTATAAAAAAAACCACATACTGTACAGCCTTGCAATTTATCATCCTATGTTTGGCATGAGCTGCTCTGCTTTAGTAATTAATTTAAGAACTGTCACAACTGGAGCTACTCCCAGTATTCTACAGAGCTTCTTGGTTGCCAGTATGACATAAACAGGGTCACAGTCCAGCCTCAGTGGCCTTCTGGTTAAAAAGAATACATGCAGATACCTTTTTAACTTCTCATAAAGCAAAGCTGCCTGAATATTCTTTCAGAATCTGTGACTTCAGTGCGTTTTGTCTCAGGGCTTCCGGTATTTGGAGTGCAGGGAGATCCTTGATTGCATGTGTAAATCAGCTCAATGTGATTTAATGTTCGTTTCCCGTCCAGCTACGCTTTTTCCCATCCAGGCGTGTAGAAGAGCAAAAACTGCTTAGTCTTACTAAGCATTGTTGGCCCGTTTTGAAAATGGCAGTGGTTAATGAAATCTGGGAAAGAAGCTTTGTCTGCACAACACTGGTGTTCAGCCCAGAGAGCTGAAAGAAAAAGGAGATGTATTTATACATCTGCGTGAGCTCAGAAAGGCCATTCAGAAAGGTGGTTATTAGCTGGTTAATTCAAGGTTGTTTTTTTTACAGATTCTTACATTTTTCCTTTTTTTCTTTTTCTACGTTTATAGTTTTAAAAAAAGGTGTACAGTGTATCAGAACTATTTTTACACGTTTTGTCAAAGGTACTTATAAAAAAATATAGCTGCTTCGGGTCCTATTGTTGTAACAATGTCTGGTCCGTTTAGAAGGTAGTCTCCTGTTTACCTGTCTGAGCTTTGTCACAGAATCAGATGAAATGATTCTCAAGCAAGAGGGATTTCTGAGAAAACTGACCGTGAGCAGCAAAGCTTCTGAAAGAAGTCCTCATGATATGTCGTTAAAACTGTGCAGGCCTGTGCTCATCTCTTGCAAATATAAAATAAAACTAAAACTAACAAGAGTGATGAGATATACATTGCCATCTGATCTCTGAAAGCAGCTGGTGGCTTTGCTGAAATTGAATATATTTGGCTGAGAGGCCAAATGACATGTTCCAGTTCATCATAGCTAAGCTGCATTGTTTGACTTGGACAGTTATTGTTAACATAATATGGGGGTGAGTAGTCGTGTTTTCAAGTAATAAGAATATCTGTAACTATAACAATTTCACTTTCACTGCAGGTACAAGCTACCTCAGCTGCTTCTTCAGCATGTATTCATATTCTTACTCTACTTCTGCAGTTCGATCTTATCCAACGTGTATATCAATGCTATGTTTTTAATTCTTGTTTTAGAAATACTTTATGGGATATATATGCCTTTGTTTTGAACTCAAAATAGTAATTAAAGTTTACATAAAACCTGATAATTGACAATAAGTGTTTGTATTATCGTACTAGAGAAAAATGTGAACATGAATGACACCTTTTTTTCTGTATTTATTGGAATTTTGTATAACAAATAGACATTAACTAGATATTTTGCTTTTGCCTTTAATTAAGGGTTGGTTCAGACCTTCAAACAACATTTCAAATATCAAGTCAAACAAGCTTAGATCTCCAGCTTTTCCATGTGTACCACTGACTAATGTGGCTAGCTGTGCAACCTTATCTATGGAGGTGACCAGAAAAACTGGGCTTTATCTGCTGTCCTTAAAATAGTTTTGTGCATTTGGTTTGTGTGCATTACTAATTCTGTAGAATTGTAAGTTATTCTAATAGAAAATCAAATATGATCCGTCCTGCTACTACCCTGCATTAATTTTGCCCCTTTTCAGGAACAGATCAGTCAAGCTGTAATTTAGATTTAGGACCATGTCAAATCACATTTTAAGGACTACGCCAAATTGTGTGCAACTTTTTAGGGGCTTTTCCTGGAGCTGTATTCTAAAGATGGCAAAAAAAAAAACCCACTTCTTTGCCTATGTGTCAGTCATTGAATGCAGTTGAGGTTTCAATAACTGCTGTCTATGGAGCAGTCTGACACAGAGCTGTTTGTCCACTGCAGGCATACGAGAGGGATGCGGAGCAGCAAGCAGAGTGAGGCGAAGTTGACGGCCCCTGTGCACCCCGCCGAGCGGGACGCTGGCAGAGGTGAACACTTATCTGTTGTCATTTCATGTTCGAGTCTGCTGAAGGACAGAGCTGAATAAATAGATCAGACCTCTCGAAAATAGCATGGTTTTATATGACCAGATTCATCCTCCTAGTCCTCTTGGTTATTTACAATATTACACTCACTTTTCATCCAGAAGGGTTCTAATGTGCTTAATTAAGAAGAGAACGGCCTGCATCCATTACAGAAGTACAGTCATTTACTACATAGGAGATAATTTGGTTGATCAATACGGTTAGGTAAGGAAAATTTGCATTCTTTTTCTTATGATCAGTGCCATAGGATTATTAACGAATACAAGTCGTAAGAATGCAGATTAATAATATCGCTTTTGTCTGCTAGTACCTTTCAGTGGTACAGGGTGATGTTTGTAGGAGTTCTGTCCAAGTACTGATGAGGTTTAGACTTCTGGAGTCTGACAAAACCAGGCTCCAAAAATGACATGGCTCTTAACATACTACTATACTAGTTACGTGGCAACTAAACGGAAAGTTTCTAGAGTATAATTATTTAAAACTTGTACAAAAACTATGAATTGTTTAACCCTAGGCAAGGTTCTGTAGGCACTTGTTGGAAAAAAATATAAATCACATTGAATTTTGTACAAAAAAAGAACATGTTTCATGCAAATGCTTTATGTGCATGATTTTTGTATGATTACTTTAAATTAAATAGAAAAGTACTGAAATGAAACTTGTGTACTCAGAAGCTTATTAACTTAGTTAAATGCAAAGTGTCTAATACATTATCTACCTTTAATGCTTTTACAGTAAAGCACAAGGTATGGGCTTTTGCCACTCAGGTGTAATTTTCACAGTGTGGTGAAATCTTGTTATTAAATAAACATTTAATGTGTCAGAAGGTGTTTTATTCATTTTCCATGATCTGGAGAACAGGTTCAGAATGTTGTGTAAAAGAAAAAACGATACTTTTTAAAGCACCACAGGAGGCAAAGATAGAAGCTAAGACTGTTCAGGGTCAAACACAGCTGCCGATGACAACTGTTGTGTAAGTGCCACTGAATACTTAGTTTTTAAATTCATATTGGATTCTGGTTAATGGATTCTACGATAATGCTGTTTAAGAGAAGGTTTTTCTTAATGTTTTACTGGTGATCCCAAAGATTTTTGTTTCATAAAACATTTTCAGTGCATTTGTTTATCATTTTCATTTAAACTAATTATACCAAAATATCTTTCTTAGCATGGTATTGCAGGGCAGGTGAAGGTGAGTAACTGATACCGTGAATTTATTTACACTAGATAAAGTTTTGAAAGTTGTGCTGCTTGAAAATTGGGCCTCTTTGAAAATCGGGTTGCTTGACATGTGCTTCTTTTATATATTTCAGAGCTGTCAACAGCATGGGACAGTCTCAGCCAGACCAAAGCTGCTGTAAGTACATCTACTGTATCTGCACTTTTCTTGCATTTAATTAAATTTTTTTAAAAAATTAAAAGCTACGGTTGTTTTTTCAAACTTGGCTTCAAAGCTGGGAGTGACCCTCCTGTGCTGCTCAGGAGAGAGTTTGCCTCCTGCCCATCTGGAAAGCCTTTTGTCGTTGGACAACATTGTAAGCTCAATGGTGCTTGAACACTTGAAGGAGTGGCACATCACTTAATGATGTAAGCGAAAGCCTGCAACACCTGGCTAGTCACAGGTGGTGCTTTCTGTGTTTGAGTCCTGTTTGGCTTATCCCAGCCCTACGTCTGGTGGAGTACATCTGGTTCCCTGTAGCCACTTGGGGAATCCCTATGCTATTATTCTGGCTATGTTATGTTAAGTCTGGCCTGGATGTTGTGCTTAGTGAAAATAATTATTGGACTTAGTTTAAATCTGCATTATTTGCACTCTCTAAAAGTCTAGATTTGGCAGTAACACCATGGTCAGAACACATAAAAATACTCTACAGTAACAAATCTACCTAATTTAAATTTGTCTGCTTCATTTTGTGTTAGGTGTTTTGTTTCCTTGTGTTCTGTACATTTATGCCTTTTGCCTTGGAGAGCAAGTGTTTGACATTGATTGATGGAAACATTCAGCCTTCAGACTGAAACAGATCTTTGCAATTATATGTAGGGTATTTAAAAAAACACACAAATGACATTTGTGTCTGAAAAAAAAAACGTATTCTCCAAAGCTCTAAAATACCACACAAAATCTTTGCTCTGACCAATGCAGTAATTGTAGCTGCTTTCAGAGCCTGTTACATTGTGGAAAATACTGATGACCATTTTAATGTGTTTCCTGAACCAGTTTAAGTCTTTTGCCTTGTATGTTCAGCTACGACACATTGAAAATCGTCTGGAAGCTGCCCCCAGTACATCAGTGCTGCTGGATTCTGTGATGGACACCAAGAAAACGTCCAGTAGTGCCACCAGGAAAATCAGCCGCAAAGGTGGGTAGTAAACGCAGGTCAGCAGAAAGCCTGCTTTTAGCTCCTATACTTGTTTCAAAGACGTTCCTGTTTTGTGTTTTGTTTTTAATATTTAACACATTCCTGTTGAATTCCATGAGTTAATCAGTAGGTAAGGAGTAAAACCTGATTTCTGTAATGCACAAGGTGCTGGATTGAGCTCTGCCGTGCTGCTGAATGCCTGATGAATGCCTTGCTTAAGTAAATGTGAGCACATTAACCAAACCACCTCCTGTTCCTTCAGACGGACGGCACCTGGAAGACTCCTCCCACTCGGCCCCCTCTCTGAAAGCGGGCAGTCGCGGCCGTGCCCGCAGGGAGAGGGGCTCTCGCAGCCCCCTGAGAGCCACCACCCTGGAGAGTAATGTCAAGAAGGCCAGCGGCGTGGAGTTCAGGGACCCCTTGGTCACATACAGGTCAGCGGATTCTGTCCGTTACAGTCTCACCCGGGGATTGCTCTTCTGATGCACGTCCCTTAAGGTGTTCATTGCCCATTCCATAGTAGTTCAAGTAGCTGCGTCAGCATGCGTAGGCTGCAAAGGAACAAGTTAAAGGTTTATTCAATGCTGAAAAGAGAAGAAAGAAAACACGACGTTTCGGCCGTGGAGCCTTGACACCTGAAGAAGGCTCCACGGTCGAAACGTTGTGTTTTCCTTCTTCTCTTTTCAGCATGGAATAAACCTATTACTTGTTCCTGATAAATAAGAATGGTTGCAAACAAGAGGAGGTCATCTTGACCATTTGATATTCAATATACTCAAAACATTGCAGGTTTTGCGCAATGCATGTTCTTGTCAGAATGTATTTTTAAATGCAATGTTTTTTTGGCTTTATTCCTGTTTGATCTCTGTCTGTGCAATGTGAATTATAGACTGTAAATGCCATTCCGCTGGTTTTGATTTATTTGAGAGCTTAAAGTCTGCAAAATCTGAAGTAGATTGTAATGTGGTGCATTCAGTGTTATTTAAATATGGATTGGATAGCCTTAAAACTTAGGTTTGGTTAAGTGGGCGAGCACATCATTCTTTAATAGAATCATTTAAGATTTATAGATATCTACCTGCAATCTGCAAAAATTCAGGTCAGTCATCAAACAGGTTTTAAAAACAGACTGTGCTACCTTAACACAGGTGTTAGGTAAAGGACAGATTGTCTCCATCTCATATGGTTTTGATGTGTCCTTATCAACAGCTTTCAAGCTTAAAATAAAATGTGCATGTTAGCCTTGTTCAATCCAGAAATATTAAAGCAAATACATCCAGTTAAAGCTAAGATAATCTGTTATTTCATTCATTGTTTACTGAACCCGTTTATGTGAAACTGGACAGCTAAATGAATCTGTGATCGCTAATTACATTTTTGGCTTGCCATATGTATTACTTTTCCTTCTCTGACTCCTTTATATGAATCAAGCATATTACAGCCTCATGCTCTTGGGGAAAGAGGGTCTTGTTTTCAGTGGGATAATATTGGCTTCTGCAGTAACAGTTCAAGGTTTTCCATTTCTCTTTTGCAGAGACCCCATTCCGCCTCATGTGACACAGAGTCTGCTGTCAGAGCTCCCCTCAAGCACACAGGCAAGAGATGACCGGCTCAGCCGCCTGATCTACCAGAGTGACACCCGTGACCTCCAGTGCCGAGACTTCGACAGTACGCGCTCTTCTGCGGTTGACAGCACCGTAGTGCGTTACCTCAACGACCTGACGGCCCTGGAGGCCCTGCACACCTCCGAAATGCCGTCCAATGCCACCGAGCACCATGGGTACAGGGACTGCAGTGGTGGGGTCACGGGGGAGCCGAAAGACGAAGGGCCCTGTCCCTCCAGTGGTAAAGGCCAGGATGGGGCTCAGGCGGTGGAGTCGTCACAGTCATCCAGCCCTGGCTCCGCTTCCCAGCGGCTGGAGAACCTTCGGCGGCGGCAGCACGACAACAAGCTGGAGAAACTGAAGGAGCGAATCCGCAAGCAGCGCGAGCATTCGGAGGAGGCGGCCGAGAGGGAGCGGCTTCTGGGCCACTTGGACCAGCCTGTGGAGGTCAGCAGCACGGAGACTGCAGCACCAACAGCCAAAATCCGCAAGGTGGCCACAGCACCTCCTGCACCTACATATAAAGGTACAGCCTTATAATAATAATTGCTGACGCTTCTATAGTTCTTTTCTGGACACTCCACTCAAAGTGCTTTACAGGTAATGGGGACTCCCCTCCACCACCTCCACCTGGATGATGCGACGGTAGCCATAGTGCGCCAGAACGCTCACCACACACCAGCTATCAGTGGGGAGGAGAGCAGAGTAATGAAGCCAATTCATAGATGGGGATTATTAGGCCATGATTGGTAAAGGCCAATGGGAAATTTGGCCAGGACGCCGGGGTTACACCCCTATTCTTTTCGAGAGACGCCCTGGGATTTTTAATGACCACAGAGAGTCAGGATCTCGATTTTACGTCTCATCCGAAGGACGGCACCTTTTTACAGTATAGTGTCCCTGTTACAGAGCGCCCCCTGCTGGCCCCACTAACACCTCTTCCTGCAGCAACCTTAGTTTTTCCTAGGAGGTCTCCCATCCAGGTACTGACCAGGCTCACACCTGCTGAGCTTCAGTGGGCTGCCAGCTGTGAGTTGCAGGGTGATATGGCTGCCGAGGCATCATGAGGAATGTTTAGACTTTGTTTTTTTGAGTTGCACAAAATGGGCTTGTAGTCTATTATTATAGCAGGTGAATTTTCACAGGAGCATTTGAAATCCAGATAAGTGTTATTTCTTTTTTTTAATTACGTTGGTAGATTTATATTCTTTTAACATTATAACTGTATTCACGCACTGTGTTATTGTGTTGTGTTCCTTGGAACTGTGTTTAATATATTCTCTGACTTTATAATTTTGACCCGTTTCCTTGAAATTCAGTGTGTTTAGTAGCAGTAATGTTTTTGACTTTTCCTCACGCTGAATGGATCTTGTGGTCCTATTTGTAACCCATCCAGGATTTCAGACCACTGCTGTGGTATGGGAGTGCTGCTGTTCTTGAGGATAATAGCGGGAAGGAATACGTTTGGTTTAAATAAAAAAAAAAACTAAGATCCTTTTTCATTGTGTTTTAAAAGCCTTTCATGCCGTTTTACATTAATAACTTCACCGATCTGAGTAGGCCTGCTGCATGTAACACAGTTTGTTGATTCACTTCATTAGTGGGTAAAGTTGGTCCTTTCTGATATAAGTGTTCTGCCACTGTTTAATCCTTCAGGTTTCAATCCTTCGGAGACCAAGATTCGCACCGCAGATGGCAAAGTGTGGCGTGAAGAGGACTTCCAGAATCTTAGTAGGGAGATCTACAGAGATTTATCTTTGCAGCTGACAGGTGAGAGGCATGCAGTTTGTCTTGCTTCTTAAAATGCCTCAAATATCTCTGGTGAAGAGGCAGTTGAGGTCATCATGTGTTTTTAACTAAAAAGCAAATTGACAGCTCATGTAGCCCTGATTCGCTTGTAAGAGCAGAATGTTTCTTGTTGTTAACCTTCTGATTGGCAGCATCTAAATTTTTAATCAAAATGCTAAAATATTAAATCTATCCTAAGCAGTTTTTAAAATTGCATTACAGTTCAAAAATACGCCTATTAAAGTTGCCTAATTTCAAGATCTAAAGTGTTTTTAGTTATTCAGTGTATGTTTAAACAAAGCATTTGTTAAGTGCGTTACATTTAGGTCTTAACAGAATAACATGCAGCTGCTTAATTCAAGCTCTTGAAAAGTGAAGGATATTTATGCAAAAGCTTAAATGGTTTTTCGGAAAGCAGTTTTTTTTCATATTGAACATAAAACCCATCCATCAGTGGAGGTATTTGAATATTTCAAAAACTGACAGACATGTAAAAAAAAAAACCTGCGTAGTTTTAAAGTTTCAAATCATTCAGTCTTTCTTGGCGTGCTACCATGCAAAGCTATTGCCAGGCAGCATTTCAAGAAGCTTCCAAATTAGGTATTCTGTGTTTTTTCAATGGATTCTCATTCCGTAAACCTCCAGCTGTCTGTTTAGATTCCTAAACCATGCTCTTACATTTTCCTATAACTGCCAAGTCACCACTTGAGCAAGTCTTTGATTAGCATTTAGTCATTTTTGTTCTGGTTCTGAGACTGAAAACCTCAATTTCATATTGTCAAAGAAATCCAATTGCACAGTGTGGTGTAGTAGAGATTCATAAGCCCCATAGTTGATTTTTTGCTATTGATAGGAAATTACCGTGTAATTTCTTACCGTATTTACAAATACTTGATCAGGTAAAAGGAAATGAACAGTTCATCTGCTTTGCAAAGAACCATAAGATGCACATTTTGTTACTGACAAAGCAGGTGCTTAAAATTTATAATCTGAACTTCATAAACAAGTTTACTCTTTGTTAACCATTGTTTTGTCTCTTAGATTGTGCAAAATCAAAGGATAAGCCTGCAGAGAAAGGGAAAGACAAGAAGTCTTTGAAACCTGTGAGAAAAATACACAAAGCTGCTCGATCACCTAGTCCCGATGCCAAGCCAGGTTTGATCTTTTAAAGAATCTATTTTTTATTCTTTGTATGAGACTATTTGTTGAAGCATAATAAATAAAGTGAGGAGTACAACATTAGTTTTCATCTATTAATTCATGTTGCCAGTCTGCTCATCCTGAAGAAGTCTCAGTGCTTCTTTTTAGCGTTTACATGTGCACCTGAATAAAAACTTTTGTCCTTTCATGGTTGACGGGAAACCTTTAGGTAGTTTTTTAGGTCATTTTTCTTTTTTGCGGTCCTAATTTAAACTGATTTACTATAGTTGTGTATCATTTCAACCCATTCCTAAAAAGTCAGCACTGAGCTGTTAGTTGAGGTGTGGAAACAATAAGGTGAGCCACTGGGTTTGTCTCTTTTGAATATTACAGATACCTTTCTGATCTCAGAAATAAAAATAATCAATTGGTTACTCTTTGAGATAAGGCCAAATGGGTGACTGAGGAGTAGATCAAGATGTGTTTTTGGAGAAGCTACCTCCCTGAATTTGAGAAATCTTACCTGACACCCCTTTATTCATTATCCTCATACATGAAAATCACTGTTTTTCAGTAATATGCTGCTGCACTTGATCATGGGAAACTTTACAAATGAACATCAATCAATTTTTGGGAAATCCACACTAAATTCTTTGAATTAATCAATCTTTCAATAATGCTATCTACATTCATGCATCTCAAGTGAGAACTTAGCAAATTGAGAATTTATAAATGCGAGAAACGTCTTCAGTTTGTTTTCGATACTGTATTGAAACATTTCTAAAGCTTTTACATGCATCATGTACCGCAGCTTTGTGAGTTATAAACTTCTATGCATTGTGTCAAACATTGCGTGGATAAATGCGCTTAGGATATACCCTGTGTTGTATTGATTTGGTCATTTCCCTTCAGAATACTGGGTACCTGAATTTCAGGCTAAAGATGTTGACTTCTGCTCTTCTATTTTTAAGTTACTTATATAATACAGATTTGTCTTTCAAAATGTAATTTACAGTAGTCTCTACCATAATAAAAATCTGAATGTGAACTAGAACTAACAGGTCTTCTATGTTTTGTACATTTCATCCATTTTCATTAGCTGCGTTGATATCTTCCATTTAAACTCTCTGCCAGTCTAGGATAAGAGGCAAAGGAAGGTATTTGAAGCTTGTACCATGTTGGACTGTGCTATGATAACTTTGCACGTGGTACAAGCGGGGCTCGGCATGTTTGTCATACCTTCGCCAGTGGAGAAATGGATAGTGTTTGGATTATGGCTTAGGGCCCCATGGAGTCACTGGAATGATCCAGTTGTCTGGGTGTTGTGTGGGAGAAGCCCTGGGCTTATGCACATACCAGTTCTCCCAGCTGTTTGACAGAGCCCCTGCCCCGATCCTCTGGGGAATGTGGCGTGCCGCGTGGTTAGAGCCCTTCTTTCCAGGATCCTCCCATAGCACTGCCGTCTGCAGTAAGCAATTGCTCAGCACCGCCTGCTAAAAATAGGATGCCAAAGTCTTGCTATCAAGTTCAGCTTTGTTAGCTGCTTTTCAGACCAAACAGCTGCTCCGCTACTGCCTGTGCACGTTCTTTGGTTTACATAGAGGTGATAAGTACTAAAGACTAACAATAATTTACATTTAGGTGTGCTCTGTATTTGATTTTTATTTCTGGTCCACAGTTTCCTGAGATGTGGCTTTTTCACTGCTTTGCACTGATTTTCACTCTCCCAATTATCGAGAAGATTTCAGTTCATTTTTTCTAGATCTATAAGAATGGTGTATTAAATAGTGTTGTGCTGTGGATATGACTATAATTAATTTTGCATGTGCTGTTAATCACAGTTGTGATTAATTTCACTCATTTAAATCCATTCACAAGACCCTCTTTGCTACCCTGTTATCTTCTCTTGAAACTTTTTGCAGCTCCAGGAATATAGATAAAACCATCCAGTATTCATAAGATGAAGTTAGACCAATTGTAACCCACATTCAGAGAAGCATTTTGGTTTGGTAAAGCACTTTTGTCTAAATACTCAGTTTAAAGGACTAATGGGGGGAAGGGGTCTCTGTTATTGCTGAATATCACGAACGATGTTTAGTGATGATTTAATAATTAATGATGATGGCACTGTTATGAGGTACAGTATTAATATGCAGTGCAGTTGTACACATATATTTACTGTACTGTTTATCTAAATACCCTGTAGTTTCTTACTGCACAGTTTACCCTTTCTTTACCAGACTAATAGGGGACAAGTGTGTCCAGTATTGCTGTCTATGTCCATGTTTATGAACAAAAAATTGTCAGAGGTAAACTACGGTCGGTCATTATATCCTTGAGAACCCTAGGTCTCCGTCACTTGCTGACAACTACAGGTGTCAATCTGTAAGCCGTCAGCGTGTACACACAATGCTGAGATACTTTCCTTGCTGAGCTAACGCCGGAAGAGGCCATTGTACAGTTGGGAAATTATGATGCCTTCGTCTTGAATTATTCATTCAGTCGTCAGTGCCATTTGTTACTGCATTTGAAATTCAGTGTCATGTGTTTAGCTAGATTGACTACAGATCACACCATGAATATCACGTTTGCGGCCAAAACCCAAGATTGTGTTAAATCCTAAGCCTGTTAAAGTGATGTCTGCTAAAACAAGGGTTTACCTTATTAATATAAATTAAATGCTTTATCCATGATTTTCTTAAAGTTATGTAACAGGGACAAATGTCAGCTGTATGTCATCCTTTATTTTTCTGGTGCAGATCTTTTAAAAAACTATTGATATGACGTTTGTGTGAAAAGACCTAGAAACTAGTTGCAGTACTTCGGTTATACAGTTGCATGTATGCAATACTGTCTCATAATCTTAAGTATTATGCTAAATGCTGGATATTATTCATCATTTCATTCAAAGTCTTTCCATACTAATCAATCCACAACTCATTGGCATATTTTCCCTGCATGAGTTGTTTTATGTATTCAAATTTAATTTACTAAATGGTGTGTAAGTAAATCGACCCTAACATAACCATTAAAATTACATGCACAGCTTATGAAATTTTCTGGAGAGCAAGATTTATAGTGCATCTAGCCAGTGGAGTGCTTTGCCTTAAAAAAGACATAAGTGACACGACAACTAAAAAAATTATAAACATCACGGTATTTTATATAACACTTGGTCTCTTGTCATGCTATTATTGTAAGTAGGAATTTGTTGTCAGTTGAATTATGATTGATTGGTATGTTATGATAAACTTCAGTTTTGCATTTGCATTTGTATTTATTATTCATTTTGCAAGTAAAGGCAGATCTCCATTAGGGCAATTCCAGGGTGACTGTTGATACACAAAGTTAATAACTCAAGGTGATGGCCGTTTAATGCATCATTGTTTTTAAATGTCACCTTCAGACAACAGAAGAATCCTTTAAAGTAAAACAGCTCACAGCCAGTGCAGACTCCATGGGGCTGGGTTGTTGAATGTGATATCATTCACCACAAAATTATCCATTTGAAGTTTTCGGCAAATGTGAGATATTGCGGTAAGGAGAAATGTGTGATTAGATTCAGCTTTAACAGGATTGTTCCTCGTTTGTGTCATCTGAACAGGACACATCATCAGCACAGCATCGTGGCGGGAAGGACAGAAGCTGGTAAAAATGGTGTTAGGGCCAGCACCCAAGACAATGCAGGAGCAGAGGGCTGAATCCGCTGACAGATCCGGCAGAACAGGTGGGCACGAAGCCAGTATCCCATAGGATACTTAGATGCTGTGTGCAATCATTCTGCAGTGACAGGTCACTAGTTAATACACAGACATTAACCTGTGCTTCTAAAAATCTTGATCAAATGACAGAAAATTGTCTCAGATATATCTATAGTTCTGCCATACCGAATCTTTTATTTTTCTGTGCATTTGACATTGATCACTGTGATAAAACTAGTAATAGAAATGATTGAAAGCAATTTATAAATCGAGCTGGATTAGCTTTAGGAAGCAGTTTACTCATTCCTGCATTAATGTCATATACTTGGTCTGAAGAACATTCACTCATTCAGACATTTGTTGCTGTGCAAACCGTATGAAAAGCATGGTTTGCTGTGCTTGTAGCCTCTAATGCTTTTCCTGTCATTCAAATTTCTAAATGTTTATCACAGAAGTGTTTTTCAATTCTGAGGCACTTGATTGGGATGTTAATTTAGACTCGTTTCATAAAGTATTTTATATGGAAGAGATCCCAGTAGAAAATGAATTAAGAAACAGTTGCAGATAGTACAATCAGAGAATGGAATGAAGATAGTTACTGTTTTATATGATGTAAATACGAGTAATTAATTTTAATGAACTCTATAAAAATTATTTATAGTTTTAGAAAACCCAGAAAATATCAATTTCATATTATATCATATAATTTCAATATGTAATGATTAATAATGAAAGAACAACAATATCACCAGTTCCTTTTGGGATGTGTTAGTAGGAGAATCGTGCTAAAATAATACTAGGCTTTTGCAGAAGGCTTTTCTTTTTAAGTTTTTGTGCAGGTTGTGAAATACAGCCATCACGATTTTCTGTATGAATTCCATAACATGTTTTATTTTCCAGATGTCTTTGTGTGACTTATAGATGCAGCGTTTCTAAACGGAGATACAATTTAAGCTAAAAACATCAAAATAGGCCAGCTATTTTGAACATAAGCATTTCAAAGGGGAAAAAATGCTAAGTGAAAAACATTTGTCTGTAGTGGAGGCTGTGTAGTTTAGAGAAATGGGTTGCTATTGGCAGTGACTGGAACAAATGCGGATAGACTTGATTTTTCTAACTGGCTGCACAATTGTGTGACCTGCTTCCCTGGGGTTGACCTTGTTCTAGATTAAAATGGCATCTTACATGGAATGTGGGATACTAAGGGACAGCACAAGTAAAAAACATAAAGGTCTGGGTGTTGGTAAGAGGGGCTGTGATTGTATTTCCTCATTTCTAAACCTCTGGATCCCCTGTGTCTTTGCTAACATTCCAGCAGAACTCTTGGTTGCTTAGATCATTGTAGAGTATCTTAAACTTGACTACATAAGACATTTGTTTTAAACTGATTTCTGTCCTAAAGGTATTGGTTTAGGTTGAAATTTTGCGTCATTCTTGATGATTGTTAGTTGTTCATGGAGCTGGAGACCCAAGACTGAATCGAAAAAATCTTGCCGTTTTCTGACACAGTTTCTTGCGACCTGATTCTGACAAAAATGTAAAAAAAAAAAGATGATAAACGTTGTCGCCAGTGCACCACGTCAGATCTGGCCTTCCACTTTTAAAAAAGATTTTACTTTGTCTTTAGCTCTGGGTCATTTCAGGAATTTATTTTCTCATTTCGGCTCTGTTGATTGGTGTTCCTCACCTGAACCGATGTCCTGTTCCAGGACTCCCCGCAAGGACGACCTCCGAGACTCGCCTGGAATCAAGACGCAGGTTGAGAGCCAGCAGTGCCGAGCGCCCCAGAAGTCGGGCGCAGTCTGAGGGCCAGCTGAGGAGCTCCCAGCCAAAAGTGGCTGAGGACAAACTGCCACGCAAAAACGACTTCCTGTCGGCGGAAATCCAGGGCATCCTCGACGACCTGCAGCTGGAGAGCCGGGTCGGCCAGTCCGAGCACCGGCGAGGGAGCAGGGGCCCGGGGGCGGGGGCCTCCTCGCGGCTCTCCCGCAGCGCCAGCCCCGCGAAGCGCAAACAGGAGGGCCCGAAGAAACGGCACTACGACGCCGACTCGGTGCGGCAGTACATCGCGCGACAGCAGGAGGAGCGCAGGAAGAGGCAGGTGGAGGAGAAGCGGGCGCAGAAGGAGGAGGCCGAGCGCAAGAACAAGAGGCTTCAGGAGCTCTACAGGAAGCAGAAGGAAAGCTTCGCCAAGGCTAGGCTGGCTCCCGAGGGCCCTGCGCAGAAACGGCTCCAGGATACCTACTCCAAACTCCTGGCGGAGCATGACAGGCTAGAGGGGCTGCCTCAGTCGCTACCAGTGGTTAACAGCCTGCAGGTGAGAGAGTGACAGCGGATGGATGGGCTAAGCTGTGGATGAATCCTTATGGAAAGATTGTTTTCTTTTTCTTTAGTCTATGTACATATTATAATACACTTTTAATTGAAAGATAGTTCACTTCTGGTCTGACCATGCTGCTGAACTAGTAATGTGTAGTTTTTGGTGCATGTTAATAACATGTATACAGGCGTCTTGAAATGTTAGTGATGTTATACATTTTTGTAAAATCTGTTTTATGTTATAAATATTTTTTTTAAATCTGCTTTAGTTAGGTTTCCATTATTCCATTTCCATTCTTTCCATTATGACTGTTAACAGTTATTTAACAGGTTACTAATGGTGTATAAGTTACAGTGTTACTTCCAGGATTGGTCTTAGGGTTAGGGGTATGGTTCAAGCTATTTTCAGGAATATGCAACATATGCAACAGAGGATAGTTATCATATTTGTCACTTTATTACTATTTAATAAATATTAAGTAGTTGTAAATTATAATATTAATAATTAATTATAATAATTCCTTACACTTATATAGCACTTTTCTGGACACTCCACTCAAAGCGCTTTACAGGTAATGGGGACTCCCCTCCACCACCACCAATGTGCAGCATCCACCTGGCCATAGTGCACCAGAACGCTCACCACACCAACTATTAGTGGGGAGGAGAGCAGAGTAATGAAGCCAATTCAGAGAGCGGGATTATTAGGAGGCCATGATTGTAAAGGGCCAATGGAAAATTTACACCCCTACTCTTTTCGAGGAACGCCCTAGGATTTTTAATGACCACAGAGAGTCAGGACCTCGGTTTTACGTCTCATCCAAAGGACGGCACCTTTTTACAGTACAGTGTCCCCGTCACTATACTGGGGCATTAGCGCCCCCTGCTGGCCCCACTAACACCTCTTCCAGCAGCAACCTTAGTTTTTCCCAGGTGGTTTTTCCCAGGTGGTCTCCCATCCAGGTACTGACCAGGCTCACACCTGCTTAGCTTCAGTGGGTTGCCAGTTGTGAGTTGCAGGGTAATAAGGCTGCTGGCCATATATTAAGTAAATGTTACTACTGTAAATATTTTTCATTGATAAACATTCTCATTTGGTTGTCCAAGACCAGGCATATCACTGATTACCAAGTGTGTACCATAAGGAACAATGTATTATATTCTGTATTGTGGTAATGTGAAATGACTTGTTTTGTACTGCATACCTCTTGAAGAGATTTATATAACTTTTTAAGTAAAGCCTAGTATAAAAATGTTGAAGATATTTCTGTTTTATAAATGTAGCTGTTACTGTATTAATTTATATTAAAGATAGATACATATATAATTGAATTGAATCTACTTGCCTACAGCAGCATTGCTGTACTGGTCAAGTGAAAGGAAAACTTTGAAAACTTCAAAGTTGCTGGATTGGTTCAGCCTGCCTTCTGTTTGTAGTAGCTCAGATGAGAAACCCACTTTCTCGTACTTACGTTCTTGCTTTATTACTCCAGCCAAAACCCCTATACCAGCCTTCAGGAGAGTCGGATAAGGAGAACAAGGGCCAAGATCGACCTCAGAGTGCTTCTTCAAGCAGCGATTTGTCACTGTCTGAGCCACGGCCCCCTCCTCTGGACAGGTAACTCTAAATGATACCTTACTGTATATACCCATTCAATTAAGTCATTCTTAGATAGGAAAACCAATTACTTCAAAATGCCTACAATGAGAGGAGGCCATGGGCTCTTTGCCTTTGGTTGCTAGTAAATAAGTGTTCTAAGTCTTGTATAAGGAAGTCTTCTCACAATCTGAATATGCATGTCATGTACTGTTTGTCCTTTACTGTTGTTGCTTGTTCAGATAAGTTAAGCAAGACTACTTCTTCTATATCTGTGTTGGCTATCCCCTACTCTCATTTTGCCTCTAGTTTAATTCTAATTATAATTTGTCCATAACCTTGCGTGCAAGTGAAGTAAAGCCTGTTTGTATTGACCTGGTTTGGTTTCATGGTTGTTATCTTCTTTAAGGATGAATTCCAAATGAACAAATTTCTACTTGCTGCATACTGTATATCAATGATTACCAAGGAAAGGTTGTATTATACATAAACTTCGGCTTAGATGTAATTTAATTCTTCCTTAAAATGAGGTAATTTAGATGTAGTTAATCAGTTTGTTTGATGTACTTGGAAACATTCCAATTAAAGTTTAAAAAAAATGCTGGATTGACAGTGCCTTTGTCAAACATTTCTAATGACTTTTTTGATATTCTACACTTAAATGTGATGGCTATTGTCGAAGAATAGTCAAGCTAGTGAAGGTTGAGGCTGCATACATTAACATGTTTTAGTGGAAACAAAATCATTTGAATTTAGGGAAATTATTTAAATAATATTTTTTATCATCTGAAAGCTTTTATTTTCTTTATAGTGGATTTACATTTAATAGAACAAAAAATCCTAATCTGATTTTGAAGTAATGGAGATGTTAAAACAGTAGATTATTGCTGGAAAAGAAAAACAAGGGAAATTCAAAAGTATGAGTCATACTGCTGTTAACAGATCTGTACTTTACAATGTTAAAGTATTTGATCAAAAAGTACTTTGAGCATGAATGGTTTCAGATCTCATGGTGATGTGATTAACATTGGGGAAAAAAGCAAGGCTTATTGTATTAATTGCTGACTTTCTATGTTGTGTGCTGATAAGTCTGCGATAGGCAGTATTAGCTCTTACATCAGATATTTTATATGCCTCTTTCAGCAGTATGTGTGAGTTCCCCAGAGTCAGAAGTACAGTAAACAAGTAGCCTAAACCACTGCACCTGCACTTTAACAAAAAATAACAACTAAAGCAGACACTGACAATATTAATGGTTTTAAGAAAATAAAAATAACATGCAGATATTTTTATCTTTATTATTCTCCTTTTCTGTCCTTTCTTTTTGGGTGGATCTCTGAGGTAACGCCAATTTCCAGAGCTTGTCTATAAGGGTTTTTCTTGCTGTTGGGTCAGTAAAAAGAATATACCAGGAAACCAAACATCAATAGTGTTAATGAGGAAACTTTTTTATTTGTGTCATGTTCTCTCTCCTCATCATTCTGCCTCTTCATGTGCTGACTCATGACTCTCCTATGATATAGATCCGTTTCAGTCATCTGATCAGGTTCTTTTCATGACTATCTTTCTGGTGCTGTGACTGTAAGCAGCTAAAAGTATTAGTGACTGAAATCACTCCTTAATTACAGCAGATGTGAAAAGTTGCACTGTTGAAATCTATGCTTTTATGTTTTCAACATGCTTTTATATCAAGTAACTAACATGGTCACTCATAGGTTTTAAAATAAATGAGCCTTCTTCTAAAATGTGCATTGCTGCATTAGCAGATTGAATGTGTTGAGGTATCTACAAGGCAAATGCAGGTTGTATCTATGCTCTGTGTTTACAGTTTTTCCATGGACACTAAACACATAGCAATAGGGTACGGTACAGTGAGCTACACATAAGGCATTGAAAATACTGTGTAATTTTAAACCCATTTTATTGAAGAACAGTGTCTGATTGATAAACGGTATTTGTTTTCCATGAAAAGATGAAGATTAACATGAATAGGTATGTAAAATATCTTTAGGTGTTTGTCACCCCAATTTGGGTGTTGTGCGCTGAACCATAGGTACTGGAATTCTGATATTCAGAGAGCTTCTTCGTGGTGTTTTTTTCTGTTCTGTGATTATCACTGGGAGGAGAAAGGTCTGCTCCCTAATCAGGTTTGTATTTCAGTGATTAGAAAGTGTACATGTAAAAATTGTCTATGGAATGTATCTTGCAATAGCGTTTCTGAAATGATACATCCCTAATACATTCTGTAGCTAAACCAATTCAAGTCATTTTGTTACGTACAACTACATACTAGATTGAATGTTTTCAGGAGTGTTTGTAAAATGACAAATGTTTTAGGACTTAACTGCTTAGGTCATTGGTTTAAGCAAATAATTTGTTTGGTTTAGGAAATAGACATAAAACACTTTTTTTCGAGAGTGATGGGGGTTTATTTTAAGATTGTCTAGGGTAAAACAGTACCATGTTTAAATTTAATGCCCATCTTTAGTTTTAATATCTCTTGTCTCTCCAGGAGTGATCTGGCAGGAGCGTCTTGGATGCAGCCAGACCGCCTGAGCCCAGCAGGCAGGGGACCTGTCCCTCTGGGTTCCTCTGCAGGAGGTCTTTTCACACAGCTGCTGGGCCTGGAGTCTGGTTTGTCGTCGATGCAGAAGGAAGGCCAAACCAGAGGCCAGGCCGCCCCCTTTTCAGTTCCCGGCCATCTATCTAAAGTCAGTGTTCAAAACAAGAGCAAAATAAACCGCATAGAAGCCCTGAAAGCCACTGCCGCATCCCTCTCCACTCGGATAGAGAGCGAGGCACGGAAACTGGCTGGAGCGGGCATTAATTACGGCTCAGTGAGAGACTTGGACACGGATGTGCTGCCTGCCGGTCAGCACGACAACGGGCGCTGGGCAAAGTCAGTGAGTCCCCCAGTCCGGGAGAGCAGTGATCCAGGTGACTTGTCCGTCAGAATCCAGAGACTTCTGAGTGCTGGCCACACTGCCTTTGATGGTGCCTTGCCAGGAGTAGGTAACCTCCATGACTTCAAAAGGCTCCGAGACCCAGCTAGGCCTCAGTCCGTCTCCACTGGCCAGGTGGCCAGAGCCTCAGAGGAGGAGGAGGAGAAGGGCAGCATTCAGGACTCCAGTGCTGACTCCATCAGTGAGGGGCCTCTCCTGAGCGAGGGCAGCCTCTCGGACATGGAGACTTCCCATCTGAAAGGTGTCCCCAGACCAGCTGACCATCTGAAGAGCAGAGAGTTCTGTGTGGCAGAGAAGAACACCTTCCGGCCCATCTCTCACTTCCAGAAAGAGGCAGAGAACTATCCTGCTTTCAGCTCTGTCTCTGAAACCGTGGATCGTGGCCCCTGGGAGGAGCTTGCAAAGGGCAGCCCCCACAGTGTCATCAACATCTTCACCAAGAGCCTCCAGACCTATGGAAAGGGTCAGTATTTGCCAGAGAAGTAAAATGAAGTATTTGCGTATTGTAGGCCATTAGTGGCCTTTTACTAGAAAAGACATTGTAGAAAACATCGTTATAGTCTCCAACTGAGTTTAATTTAACCAGTGAATATGTGAAATTGTTTATATGACTGCAAGCTGGTGTGTTTTTTTTTAAAAACAGAGCACAACATTTTTGCACAAAATTTTCCAAATGAGTTTAATCAAGGAATCATAGCTTTCCTACTGAAAGTTGGGTTCAAAAGCAAGTCATTTGTTTATTCCTTATTTATTGCTCATTTCTTTTTAAGAAGAATCAGAAACACTTCTTTCTTTTCAGTTTTTTGTGTAGTTTAAAATATTGATTTTAAATACTTATGTAAATAAATATGGATGAGATTTTTGTAGATGTTACTCACACAAAAAATCTTGTCCGTTCTTTAGACCAGTGGCTCTCAAACTGTGATATGGTACCCTAGGTGGTATGCCAGGTGACCCTGGAAATTTGTTGTGTGCACTGAAAATTTAGGAATTGAATAATTAAAAATTTTGTAAATTTTTAATCTGTGATTTACTTAATTAATTTGTGACAGCCTACATACTTAGGTACGTTGATACAGCGCGTGCAAATACTTGAGTGCTCATACTCCTCTCGAACTTTCCGAGACACAGCTAAGCGACACATTCGCCAACAGAACAAGTGTGAATTCCTCGCAAAAATCAAGTATTATGTATTGGCTGAAAGAAATAGACACCGAGAGTACTGGCGTCAGCTCTGATAGAGCACGCACACCCGTTGAGAACGAGGAGGATTATACAGCGGCCACTAGGGTTACCATATTTGAACATCAAAAAAAGAGGGCACCCTGAGGAACTTTCCTATTGCCTTGTCTGGGAAGGGGGTCGGGATGGAGAGGGTTTTCAAAATATCCCACTTTTATTTTCATTGGAAATTTAACTGTGATGTTTAACTGTGTGAAATGCATAACTCCCCTCATCTGCAATAACAGTATCCTCTGTTTTAATGCCAGATTTTACTAAATCTGTTAAATTGGTTGGCGAACAGCTCAAATTGCCTTTTTGTGTTTGAGTCAACATGAGCTTGCAAGTCAAGTACACCCTTATTTGCCACGGAGACAAAAGTACCAGGCTTACACACCAAACATTCAGCTTCCCTGTCTTTTCTGCCACTTCGAAAACACGGAAGTGTATTTTTTAGTTCTGCTGTGAATTGACACTTTCGCTTTGGCATTGCTTGAGGGTAGGAAAACGAGAAACAGAATAGGGAGCCTTTCGAGGGAATGCTTCTGCACTGCACAGACTGAGTAAAGACACTGATATTGGCACCCGATTTTGCTCTTTTGTGACATAATCATACACGTACGGGACGAAAACTGAACAACAACGTACTGTGGGTCGCGGAGCGAACTAGAGAAGTCAAATTCTCTTGCTATCTTTCTAACCTCCTCATCTGATATCTTTAAAACTTTTGTTCATTATTCTTCATGGTGAAAAGAATGCGGTCGAAATCCCGGACATTTTTGGATATTTGAAATTCCTTCCGGACGGAGATATAAGGATCAAAATAGAGGACGTGTCAGGGAAAATCCGGACGTATGGTAACCCTTTCGGCCCCCGACACTAGCTCTGTTGCGGAACCTGACACGGACCGCACTGCTGGTGTTAGCAAGCGTCGGAAGAAGGTGGTACGATCAAAATTAAATAAGTGCTCAGTAAAATGTGTGTGCGCATGCTCATGTTGGTCATTGAGGTTTTCTGTGGTTTCTAACAGAAGATGACTTGTAGGTGGTAGTTGGATGCTTTGGTTTGATCAGGGGTTTAGGGTTTAGGGCTTGGACCCTAAACGTTTGAGAACTACTGAGTTATTCAATTTCATTCATCGGTGATGAACGAAGGAAGCAGAGGTGCATGCATCACACCTTTGCAGCCCTGTGTGGGATGTATTGGCTGATGGTTGTTTCTTCCCCCAGTGCTGGAAGAGAAGCTGGAGAGGAGCTCTCCAGCCCTGCAGCCCCTCCCGCGGGTCACCAGTTCTCCGGAATCGGCCTCGTACGAGGACGACTTCGTCTCGTCTCAGAGCAGCGGCAGCCACTCCCGCAGGCGAGGCCTTGCCAGGCTCAGGTGCGTGTCGGGAGAGTGTTCTGCCATGGCATACAAGATGAAAGCCTGGGTGTTTTCAAGGTTCGAAAGAATTAAGAGCTCAGAGGTTCTGAAACACTGGGGAAATTGAAAACAAGGATTTTAAAAAGTGGGTTTCTTCTAAGGTGGTTACTTTGCGTTAATCTGACAGGAAAACAAGCTCCACGATGGTGTCAGTAAAGACTATAAGCCACACTGCACACCGCAGTAAATTGTGGAGTGTCGATGTTAGAAATATCTAAGGTGGCTTTGTCACAGCCACAAACTGGGGTGACACTGCATTTAATTTTTAGTAGAACCCCACCATCCCCCAAATTCTCCTTCCATCACGCACCAGACTACAGTTTTATCTGTGCCATGACTTTATAAATAATTCTCCTTACACACCAGTGAAAAGTTGGTTATTCATGACAAGATGAAAAAACAACCACTTTCTAAACCTGATCCTTTTACATTATTTTGAATCAGTTTAGTACATTTAGTTATGCATTTTTATATTGATTTAACAATAATAAAGTAGTGTCTTAGAATCTAAGTTCTCATCAAGCTGGATATAAATTGAAATATGTACGTTGTGCCCACCAGGGGGAGCTCGTGCTGCACATCACGTTCTTTTTTTCACAATCTGT